TTAGGTAGTGTTTTGGCTCTTTTAGCTAGTGTTTTGCTACTTTTAGCATCTGTCTGAATTTGACGGGTCTGGGCCATGACCTCATTTTATACGTGTCTTAGGTGGTCTTACGGGGTCCTGCTGTGGGAAATCTTCACTCTGGGGGGCTCACCGTACCCAGGGATCCCGGTGGAAGAACTTTTCAAGCTGCTGAAAGAGGGACATCGGATGGACAAACCTGCCAACTGCACTCAAGAACTGTACGTGAAAAAATAACTACAGGAAGCAGAACCTTTTGATTACAAACCAGTAAAAACAATCAGATTAGGGTCTGAGACCACATGCTGGGTTTTCCTAAATTGCATTGTGAATAAGCAGATCTCGACCCGTGTTTCAGGTACATGATCATGAGGGAGTGCTGGCATGCCGTCCCATCGCAGAGACCAACCTTCAGACAGCTGGTAGAAGATCTGGACCGGCTCTTATTCATGACCTCCACTGATGTACGTCTCCCTGCACAAACGTGGTTCTTGTTTAGGACTGAGCTTAAGAACGAAGCTAGATTTGAATGTTTTAAGAAAGATCTTGTGAATAGTGTTAGAGCTCAGAGTATGAGTTGAGTATCAGTGTTAGCTACTACCACACCAACTTATATCTAACTATACAGAAAGATTTTTTGTCATTTAACATAGAAAAATAATAAATAGAATAAAACTCATTTATTAGTCCTTTTTTCTATGCAGCTTTTATTTTGCTAGAACAATTCGGTTTTCATTGACGTATGAAAAAAAAAGAATTTAGAAACTGAAACAAAAAAAATCATGTACATCGTAAATCTAATTACTGTAGATGTTGTTTGAAATATTTGTGTGTCTTAAAACAAACGGTTAGAAATGCGAGAATAAGTTAACGTAAACACATTAACAATAAACGTTCAAAGTAGTCTGGTATCTTCAAACGAATCACCGTAGATGACAAAGCAATGATTATTATTATTATAAAGTTTTTTTTTAAACAAAACAAATCAATTCTATATACAATAAGAAATACAATCACTAATAAAATGAAAGGCAGCAGAAAGGAGAAAAAAATCTTTTAATATCTGCCCCTTTTTACCCAAAAAATAATTCGGACAATAACGATCTTCAAATGACTAAAACCAAAGTGCATATTTACTAAAACCAAAGTGCATATTTACTAAAACCAAAGTGCATATTTTCAAACAAATTATTGTAAATGTGAAAAATACGTGAGCTCTGTGTAGGAAACGGAAGCTGTGATGGACCGATTACATGTCCAGGGGGTATCCCGTCTCGTGTTTTTGGCAGCTGGAGTTAAACACCAACTCCATGCTAACCTGGAGAAGATGGGGGCGTCTGAACTGAAGAATAATGAGATAATTAAACAGGGATCCAGATGTTTTATGATTAATGTCACAGAATTGACCACCGAAGGAGTTTGATGGTTGTAACCTCTGACCTCTCCTCTGACAGGAGTACCTGGACCTGTCGGTGACCTTCGAGCAGTACTCGCCCACCTGTCAGGACTCCAACAGCACCTGCTCGGATGACTCTGTGTTCGCCCACGATCCGCTCCCCGAGGACCCCGTCTGTCCAAACAGCTAACCTGCAACAGTGCGATCCGGACATAAAACTGGTTCTGGGGACGGGGTCGGACCTCGCGTCACCAGAAGCTCATCTTGAACTCAGATCTCTGAACAAACGTCGTCTCTTGGAGGTTCGACGTTGAAGGATTTTTTAATTTTTTTGTGCTCTTGAATGCTGATCTAGGAATGAAAATATATTTTTGTACTCAGGCCAGTCTTTTGTTACAGACAGTGTGTGTTTGGTGAAACCATTCCGTGCCTACTGGGAAAATCCTTCCCGAGACCGAGTTTTAAACGGATCCAGGAGGAGCAAATAAAGGGCATTGATTGATCAGTAACCGGTTAGTGACGCAGCACCGGAGGACCTTCAGCTTCGTCCTGCGTGGAGCCCCTCGGATCACGGCGACATTTAACAGAAATCACGTGTGGGGTCTGGTTCCACATGAGCACTCCGGTTTTACGACACAAATTCCTCATCTCGGGATGCAACGTTTCAGGGCCATTCGGTATTTAGGTTTGGAGAACTTTTTATATATCCAGAAAGTGATTTATTGTAAATATATCCATGCAAAGATATGATGGGTGTGCACAGCGGTAAAAGACGAAGAAAAGATTTTATTTGAGTATGGAAGACACTGTCGTGAACATATAAAACATTTAACCTTTTCAGGTGCTGCAGAAAAGTTTAATTTTAATAATGTGTAAATTTGTAAATGTATTTATAGGCTTAACATAAAAGGTTCTTGCGTTTGAAATATTTAGTTTTAGAATTTTAGCATTGTACGTTTATTTCAGCTTTTGTAATTTATTTTACTGCAGTGTTGTTGGTTTTACTTTTGGTCGCAGATGATTTTTATTGGTTTGAAAATAAGAATGTGTGACAGCAGCGTCAGCGCCAGAGAGGATTCTGGGAACTGACGGCTGATGCTGAAAGAGGGCCGGTTCGGTTCTGGTTCAGAAAGTCGGCGTTTTGCAATAATCAAAGCTACAATTTAAACTCTTGCTGGGCAAGAACGGGCAGCGCTTTGAGGCACAAACCAGAAACATTTTACGATATTTCCACATCAAATGTATCGACGACGAGCTGTGAGTTTAACAAAAACCATCACGGACTTAAAGATTAATCCGTTTATCAAACCGTTTTATCGTTCAGGCTGTGAACTCGGGGAAGTTGTTGACGTATATGAAAATTTCAGCTCTACGACGATTCCTTTTTAATTTTTTTAATACAAAATTTGCCCAAAATGATTAATTTACCACATATTCTGTTAAATTATAGATATTTAAAATGATTTTGGATTGTATGTAAACTTCTGCTCCCAGCAGGCTTCTCGGAGAGATCCGGAAACATGCGTGCTTTTTAACGTCAAAGACGGTCTGGGGTTTTTGCTGCAATGCATGCTGGGGCTTGGAGTTTGTCTCTTGAGACGGTGTCTGACCAGGCTCAGACAGCCGGAGATGCAAAATTGCAAGAGAAAAGTGAAATTTTTCATTTTTAAAAAATTTTTTTTTAAGTTGAGCACAACGTTCTCATAAAAACAAAGTTTAAATCTCAAAACCTGAATCTCAAACTCGCACCAGTTTCTCTGGAATTTTGAAAAACATTTGAAATAAATAAAAAAATTCACCATAAATTCGCTCTCAGATTAGTCGTGGGCGTCTGGATCTCATCTCGAACCTTTTTGAATCTGTCCTCGGTAATGAGGGTGTTGCTTCGGTCGGTCGTGGTGAAGAAAGCGTTCCATCGAAAATCAAATCTCTGGGTTTGCTGGTCTGTGCTCCAGTCCTCACCTGTTGGATCAGGACTGAACTAGCTGGAGGTCTCCTGGACCTGTTGCCTGTGCGACCTGACAATGAACAGGGGTGCCTCCAGAATTATTTTTAATGGGGTAGACCAGTGAGGGGGGCACTGAAAATCCTGGGGTGGCACACCAAAACCAAAAGCCAGAACAGAATCAAGAGGTTTCACTTCATATATCGATTATTCGACAGTGACAGCAATACGGTAGTTAAGGAATCACCTTCTGATATGCAGACGTCTACTTTAATTTTTTTACTTCCTGTTGAGATTAGTTGTTGAGAAAAGCAGAGTCACCACTGGACTTATTAAAGCTTGTCCTCTCAAATTTGTATTTATATATACTTTTTGTTTTTTTTTAGCTTAAAATGTCTTGAGACCCTGCTTTTTGATGTTAAGGACACTGACCGTATTTGAGGGGGCCAAGATTTTACGTTATCTTTTTTATTTTAAATAAAATATATATTTGTACTTGGCTCATAACTGATCAAAAACAAGTTTTATTTTTTACATTTATCAGGTTCTATTAGTCCTAAATAGCAAGATGAAAATAAAAATGCACACCAAGCAAAACCTTAGGACTCGAGATAAAACAGCTTGTTCAAGGGAGGACACCAGTTTTGTTGGGGTGGCCATTGCCCTCTCTGGTCCTCCCCTGGTGACGCCCCTGGCCACAGATAACCGTTAGAGGATGAGGTCGAGCTTTGGGAGGTTTTGACAAACTTTGAAACCAAGTTGTGACAAAAACGGACTAAAACATGATCAAAAGACACTCGGTAACTAAATTTTAACATTTGCACGATTTTCTGGAACGTTTATCGAGAATCGCAGTATTTTTCGCTGCCACGTACGCAAACGTGTCGTGATTCGGTTCCAAGTGGAAAATCTGCGAGTTTTCCCCAATTTAACGTCTCCACCAACAGTTACTGAGATACAGCCGTGATGTCGATTTCTGCGTTACTAAAATATATTTATATATTTTAACAGCCTGGTCAGGCACATCAGACTTGAGTCACTGCTCTACAGCGTTGTGGAAGTGACGAGTCACTGATGACTCAGCAAAAATCTATAAATCTATGTGTCAGACTCAAGTCAGGAGGTTCAACTACATTAGTCTCAAACGTCCGTCTTATCCGGTTCAGCTGAACCGAACGCTGCACTGTTGAACACGAGGAGGTCGCCAAACTAGTATTTAATGTTTTAAATGTTTTAGTTTCACTGAATTTTCGTAAAGTTTCGGGTTTAAATGTTTACAGCCTGTTTTTAGCAAAAGGGAACGTTATGCGCTGCTGCATCAAAACAAGAACACGAGCTAAATTTCAGCTGATTAACGAGTTAGCTGAGTCAGTGCTTGCTCAAAATATCCCAATATTTTTATTACTTTAAAAAATAATTGGTCTTTTAATCTTGATACGCTGGTAAACTTATGTACTTTGTCAGGTTTATGTGAGATTTGGCTCAAGTCTATCAAGTACCTCTCAAGTAATGACGTAAACAAAAGTAGATTTATTTTTTATTTTGTTCATTTTGAATGTATGATGCAAAAACTAAATGTAAAATAGTAGTTAAGGCTAAGGATTGGTTTATGTTTGATCTTTAACGGGAAAACAAAGCACTTCTGTAAAGGATGGATCTAATTTACCGTACGGTGTTTGGTTTGACTTGTTCTTCCACGTCGGGTAAAAGCTTTCCCTATGGCGAGAGTATTTTTACTCACAAGAGTGTGTTTTCTGTGTTTATTCTAAATTCAGAGATGTGGGGCAGAACGATTGGGCTTCTGGTTCAGTTCTGGATTTTTGTTTTATTACGGTCAAACCTTTATTCATCAGATTTATAAACCGGTTTTAAATGTTTACTTTATCACAAGTGTTGACGTGGTTCAACATCAAAGTGTTGCCAAGTTTTTTTTGTTTTTTTTTATCCAAAAATGGATGTAAAGTCACGAGAAATAAAATGTCCGCTCTCAAAGTTCTGTGGTTTAAAAAGTTTATAAATCCACCTCATTGAACTTTTAGCAGCAAAAACTACCAGAACGGTTTTAACTTGATCCGTCTCGTGGTTCTGGAGGAGTTCTGGCCCACTCTCTTTTCCATCACTGAGGCTCCTGCTCAGCTGTCAGAAGGTCCCACCAGAGACGGGTTGTGGTTCTGGACTCCTTGGTTCTGTTCCTTTTGACCCGTTATGTTGTAGATCAGCTGCTGTTTGGGATCATGGTCCTGTTGGACCCAGTTTGGTCCAAACTTCAGCTGTTGGACAGATGGACTCATCTGACTCCAGAAACCTTTGGTCTGCAGATCAGTTCCTGGTCCACTCGTTGACTGACAGGAGCCCAAACCATCAGCCCTCCACCACCGTGCTGACAGCTGGGAGGAGCCGTTTGCTGCAGTGCATTCTGGGTATCTGTCCTCTAGTCTGGTTCTGGTCCAGAAATCTTGTGGCTCCTTCAGATGAAACTTTCCAAACCTAAGTCAAGCTGCCATCTTGTTTTTAGAGAGAAGATGCCATGACCTTTGACCTGCTGACTGAGGCCTGTAGAGTCACTGCATGGTCTGACCTTAAGGGTGAATCTGCTGCGAAGACTTCTTCAATGTTTGGAACTCGTGAATAATCTTCCTGTAGAACGATGGACTAACTGACCTTTGACCTTTCACAGATTGATGCGCAGCAACAGCTGCTTCTCTGAGATCATTGCTGATGTCTTTCCGCCTTGGCGATCAGATCAGCAAACTGACTAAACTTCTGTTTCTGTCGTCGATCATTATCGATTAGTTGTGATACGTAAAACCGGAGAGCTGACGGTCGCGGACATTTTCTTCCTGGACTGTAACGTTTCGAAACTCACTCATGAAACTTTATTAAAAATTAAAACTATAAATCTGTCTCGGAAGAAGTAACGATATTCCTCTGACATTTAACATTTAACAGTTTTTAAATCGATAAAGGATTTATTAGAACCAGCTGTAGAGAAACGAGATCAGCCACAAGATAATTAGAGACGAGGCTGAGACGACGTTTTACTGAAAATTACCTCATGCTTTTATTTTGTTACATTTTGACAACCCCAATAACCAAAAACAGTTGCATCATGGTGTAAAATGAAAATAAAACCATGGTTTGTAAATCTCATAAATCCACATTTTATTCACAGCAGAACAAAGTAAACGTTTAAACTTAAGAATTGAACCATTTTGTTTGAAAAAAAAAAAAAACTTTTTAATTTGACGGTTGTTCCAGCTCCATCTGAGAAGACTCCCCTCTTTTAAAATTAATCTATAAAGGTTCAGAACCCAAGGAGGATAGTTTTTGGTTTTGGAGGACCTGAAGAGACCAGATTTTGGTTTTGGAGGGCCTATATATAT